CGCCTGACCCGGGCATTGAGGCCACTGCTCTAGGTGCTGGTGAGGCTGCTGCTCTAGGTGCTAGTGCGTCTGCTACCCCAGGTGCTAGTGCGTCTGCTGCCCCAGGTGCTGGTGAGTCTGCTCTCTCAGGTACTACGTCGGCTCAGGCCTTACACACCTTCACCCTTGACTCGGGGTCATCCTGCTTCTTCTATCAAGACCGCACCACTCTTACGCCGCTCAGTCGGCCGGTTGCAGTCTCCCTGACGGACCCCTCTGGGGGTCCTGTCCTTGCTAGCTTCTCCATTGTCTTACCGTGCCCGGCAGCCCCCTCTGGCACCCTGTCAGGTCTCTACTCCCCTCGTTCTCTACGAACTTGGTGAGTGGAGCGGACCTACAGGATAAGGGGGTTGACCTGTTCTCTCCTGCGAGTCAGCGAGTGACCCACTGCACGTGTGCTCGGACAGGCCGACTCTTGGCCACGTTCACCCGTCGGCCAGGGTCGAGCCTGTACACCCTTACTACTGAGTCTCCTCCGGCTGTTGAGTCTGGCCAGGTAGCTGCGTCGAGTCAGGTGTTTGCTGCAGCGTCCAAGTCTGGTCCTGAGTCTGCTCCCTGCTCGTGTCGTCTACTGGCCCACCAGACTCTCCTCTGGCACCACCGCCTTGGTCACCCCTCCCTGCCTCGTCTCCGAGGCATGGCCTCCCGTGTCCTTGTCTCTGGTCTCCCTCGGTCTCTCCCTCCCCTACCTCCAGGGCCTGGCCCTACCTGCGTCCCCTGCGTCGAGGGGCGACAGCGCGCCGCCCCTCACTCCTCCGAGTTTCCTCTGACAGAGGCTCCGCTACAGACCCTCCACATGGACGTGTGGGGCCCCGCCCGCGTCCGTGGGCAGGGGTGTCAGAACATTATAGCTTATACATTTGTGTAGGCTGTAGTGGGGTAGCCCATAAGGGGTTCAACCCAATTAGGGTTAGTACTTGTACCCAACTGTTTCATAGTTCATTCATTTTCCATTCTCACTTCTCGTCATGGTATCGAGCAGGTTCCCGAGTGGGAATACTACCTAGGGCCCACCACGAACTTTTTTTTCCTTCCCTGCCCGGAGCGCGCTTAGCTCCTAACCCGAGTAGCGCCTCGAGCCGCCTTAGTGGCCCCTATTGGCCGCCCTTACTGCCCCTCGAGCCGCCTTCTACGGCCTCGCTTAGGCCGCTACGGCCTCGCTACGGCCCCGCTTAGGCCCCGTCGGCCCCGCTACGGCCCCGCTTAGGCCCCGCTACAGCCCCGCTACGGCCCCGTCGACCCCGCTACGGCCCCGCTACGGCCCCGCTACGGCCCCGTCGGCCTCGTCGGCCCCGCTTAGGCCCCGCTACGGCCCCGCTACGGCCCCGTCGGCCCCGTCGGCCCCGCTACGGCCCCGCTTAGGCCCCGTCGGCCCCGCTACGGCCCCGCTTAGGCCCCGCTACGGCCCCGTCGGCCCCGCTTAGGCCCCGCTACGGCCCCGCTACGGCCCCGCTACGGCCCCGTCGGCCCCGCTTAGGCCCCACTACGGCCCCGCTACGGCCCCGCTACGGCCCCGTCGGCCCCGTCGGCCCCGCTACGGCCCCGCTACGGCCCCGCTACGGCCCCGCTTAGGCCCCGCTACGGCCCCACTTTGGCCCCGCTTAGGCCCCGCTGCGGCCCCGCTACGGCCCCACTTCGGCCCCGTCGGCCCCTCTACGGCCCCACTTAGGCCCCACTTCGGCCCCGTCGCCACCGCGGCCCCGCCCACCCTTGCGGCCCGCCGCCACCTGCGACCTCGCCACCACCTGCGACCCCGCCTCCCAGCGCCCGCAACGCCGAGCAGCCGAACCGCCGGCCTCCTGAGCCGCCCGACCTCCTGAGCCGCCCAGCAGCTGAGCCGCCCGACAGCCGAGCCGCCCAGCACCGTGCAGCCGAGCCGCCCAGCAGCCGAGCCGCCCAGCAGCCGAGCCGCCCGACAGCCGAGCCGCCCCACACCAGCAGCCGAGCCGCCCAGTAGCCGAGCCGCACAGCAGCCGAGCCGCCCTGCAGCCGAGTCGCCCGACAGCCCAGCCGCCAAGCAGCCCGATCGCTCCACCTACCTGGTAAGAGCACAGTCTCTGCCACTGCATTGCCCTGCCTCTGGCTGTTATGGCTTCCCCTAGCGTTCTCACCTTTGACGCTGAGGGTCGGGCAGTGGACTTTGAGGTCTGGGTAGATGATCTGCAGCTTTTCCTGCAGTGCGATAGGGCAGACGGCCTCTCCCTGTTTGACCTCACATCTGGTGCCTCCCCTGCCACTGCTGCTGATGCTGACGCCACTGTTCGCTCACAGTGGGCCACACGTGACGCTGCTGCTCGCCTTGCTGTGCGCCGCCACTTACCGACCACTGAGCGTGCACAATTTAGCTAGTACAAGAGTGCTCAGACCTTGTACGACGCTGTAGTTGCACGCTACTCTTCCCCTGCCACTGCTGCACTGAGCCGCCTCATGCTACCGTACCTCTTCCCTGCCCTTGCTGCCATTCCCACTGTTGCTGACCTCATTACGCACCTCCGCACTAGTGACACTCACTACCGCGCTGCGCTTCCTGCTGAGTTCTGCGCCAAGAACCCTCCCCCCATGTACATCACCCTCTACTACATAGTCACCCGTCTCCCTGACTCTCTCCGTGTAGTCAGGGACCACTTCCTCTCTGTTTGCCCCACCACTCTCACAGTTGACCTCCTTGAGAAGGCCCTCCTAGCGATAGAGAAGAGCATAGTCACTGTAGGAGCCTCTCGTGGTGACCCTCGCACCCCCGTCTTTGAGGGGTGTTCTCCCTCCCCCCTCTTGCCCTATGTTGCCTCTGCTGCTGCGGCCGACCTCGTTGGTTTCGAGTCGGTCGGCGCTGCGTCTGCCCCGAGCGGGAGACGCCGCACCGGCAAGGGCAAGGGGGGCAAGGGCACTGGAGGAGGTGGAGGGGGCGGTGGAGGTGGTGGTGGAGGCGGTGGAGGGAGTGGGGGTGGTGGTGGGAGTGGTGCTGGGGGTGGCGGCGGCGGCGGCAGCAGTGGAGGCGGCAGAGGCGGTGGAGGTGGCGGAGGGAGCGGAGGCGGCGGAGGTAGTGGAGGAGGCGGCGGTGGAGGAGGCGGCGGAGGCGGCGGAGGCGGCAGCGGCGGCGGAGGCGGCGGTGGTGGAGCGAGTCGCGACTCTGCGTCGAGGAGTGGCGCCGGTGGTGGTTAGCGCCAGCAGCAGCAGCGGAGTGGTGTGACCCTGTCCCCTCAGCAGCTTCGTGAGTGGTACACTGCACACCAGCGCGGTGAGGGTTTTGGTCCCTGCTCTTACGTTCTCTGTACCGGCGACCGCACTGGTGAGCAGTGCGGGGGTCCGCACTCCACCCAGCGCCGCTATGGTCGCCTGACGGACGCGTGGCATCGCCAGTTCCCTGAGGTGTCAGAGATCCCTTGCTGGGGAGATCTGGCTAAGGCCGGGGTTGCTATCTTTGATCTTGACTTTGATGCTATTCTTGCTGCCATGTATGCTGTTGCTGATGGTGTTGAGGGTGCCTGTTACCTGTGTGTACCGCCTGACCCGGGCATTGAGGCTGCTGCGCTAGGTGCTGGTGAGACTGCTGCTCTAGGTGCTAGTGCGTCTGCTGCCCCAGGTGCCAGTGCGTCTGCCGCCCCAGGTGCTGGTGAGTCTGCTCTCTCAGGTACTACGTCGGCTCAGGCCTTCCACACCTTCACCTTGGACTCGGGTGCGTCCCGCTCCTTCTTTCGAGACCGCACCACTCTTACGCCGCTTAGTCTCCCTAACAGACCCCTCTGGAGGTCCTGTCCTTGCTAGCTTCTCCACTGTCCTTCCGTGCCCTGCAGCCCCCTCTGGCACCCTGTCTGGTCTCTACCTCCCCTCGTTCTCTACGAACTTGGTGAGTGGAGCAGACCTACAGGATCGAGGGGTTGACCAGTTCACTCCTGCGAGTCAGCGAGTGACCCACTGCACGTGTGCTCGGACAGGCCGACACTTGGCCACGTTCACCCGTCGGCCAGGGTTGAGCCTGTACACCCTTACTGCTGAGTCTCCTCCTACTGCTGAGTCTGCCCAAGTAGCTGCGTCGAGTCAGGTGTTTGCTACGGCGTCCAGGTCTGGTCTTGAGTCTGCCCCCTGCTCGTGTCGTCTGCTGTCCCACCAGACTCTCATTTGGCACCACCGCCTTGGGCACCCCTCCTTGCCTCGTCTCCGAGGCATGGCCTCCCGTGTCCTTGTCTCTGGTCTTCCTCGGTCTCTCCCTCCCCTTCCTCCGCGGCTTGGCCCTACCTGCGTCCCCTGCGTCGAGGAGCGACAGCGCGCCGCCCCTCACTCCTCCGAGATTCCTCCGACAGAGGCTCGGCTGCAGACTCTACACCTGGACGTGTGGGGCCTAGCCCGCGTCAGTGGGCAGGGGAGAGAGCGGTACTTTCTGCTGGTCGTTGACGACTACTCGCGTTACACCACAGTCTTCCCCTTGGGCAGCAAGGGTGACGTCACTGAGGTGTTAATCGTATGGATCCACGCAGCTCGTCTCCTGCTCAGAGAGAGTTTCGGCTCGGACTTTCCTGTTTTGCGTCTGCACTCGGACAGAGGAGGGGAGTTTTCCTCTGCCCGTCTCGGATCCTTCTGTCGGGCACAGGGCATCCGCCAGACCTTCACGCTTCCAGACTCTCCACAGCAAAATGGGATTGCTGAGCACCGCATTGGCATGGTCATGGACGTCGCGCGTACGTCCATGATGCATGCGGTTGCCCCCCATTTTCTGTGGCCGTTTGCGGTTCAGTACGCCGCGCATCAGCTCAACCTTCAGCCCCGGGTCTCCTTGCCAGAGACCTCCCCCGCCTTGCGGTGGACAGGGAAGGTTGGCAATGCGTCTACGTTTCGGGTCTGGGGATCTCGGGCGTTTGTCCGCGACTTGTCTGCGGACAAGCTGTCCCCCCGTGCTGTTCATTGCGTCTTCCTTGGCTTCCCCCCTGACGCGCCTGGCTGGCAGTTTTACCACCCCACCACGCGCCATGTTCTGTCGAGGCGGGAGCCACTCTCTCCACAGGAGCTGCGCGTGTGGTTCGCCCGGCGCTGGAGACGTGCTGCTGAGTCTGGGGGTGTTGGCGCTGGTGTTTCTACTGGTGCTGACGGTCCTACCGGAGTTGGTGCTGCTGGAGCTGGAGCTGCTGGGGGTGTTGGCGCTGGCGGTGCTGCTGGCGCTGGTGCTTCTGAGGGTACTGGAGTTGGCGCTGTTGGAGCTAGAGGTTCTGCTGGCGCTGGTGCTGCCGCTGGAGGTACTGGTGCCGTACTTGCTGGTTCTAGAGGCGCTGCGCGGCGGAGGCCGTACTTCGTTCCGCTCCTGGAGCAGGTTCTTGGTCTCCCGCCCTCTACTGGTCCTGCTCCTCCCCTAGAGTGTCCACTGCCTGTCCAGTCGCAGTCACACTTACCGCCCGCCTCCCCTCTACCTGCTCCTTCTCCCTACACTGGTCCTACTGGAGGTCTTGCTGAGCGTCGTGAGCCTGCGTCTTCTCCCGCGTCACCTGTTCGTGCTACTCGCACTAGTGGTTGTACTGCGCGTCCGCGTCCTCCTGCGGTCCCCGGCACACACCAGATGGCACTGCGTCCTTCCACTGCTCCTCTGCGTGTCCCTTTGCTGTCTCCTCCAGAGTCCTCTCTTCCTTCTCTTGCTGACCCGGAGTCTGACTCCCTTCGTGCTGCTAGTCCTTCGGTCACGCGCCTTCTTGCTACTGTCGTCACTGACCCTTCCTTTGAGTCTACTGCTGCGTCTGCTCTCGTTGCTGAGATTGTTGACTTCGCTGCTCGCTGTCGTCTAGACTACGCTGCTAGTCTTGTTGCTGAGTCTGAGTCTGTCTGTCCTCCGTCCGTCGGGGGTGAGTGTGCTCTTAGCACGGACGTCCTTGAGGACAGGCAGGAAGAGTTCCAGTGCTTTGCGGCTGCTTTGCCCCATCTCGTGTCCATGCTGATTGCCCCTAAGGGAGACGCGGATGCACTAGACATCCCGACTCCTCGATCGTACGCTGAGGCGATCGAGGGTCCCTACTCCTCTCAGTGGCAGTCGGCCATGGACGCAGAGATGGCTTTCTGGAAGTCCACAGGCACCTAGGTCAACGAGGTTCCCCCACCTGAGCGAACATCGTCAGTGGGATGTGGATCTTCAGGGTGAAGTGGCCGCCGGGCTCTCCGCCTATCTTCAAGGCGCGTTACGTGGCTCGAGGCTTCAGTCAGCGGAAGGGAGTTGACTACTTTCAGACCTTCTCTCCCACCCCGAAGATGACCACTCTTCGGGTGCTGCTGCACATAGCCGCTCAGCGCGACTACGAGCTTCACTCTCTTGTCTTCAGTACTGCTTTCCTGCAGGGCAGCATGCACGAGGAGATCTGGCTGCGCCGTCCTCCTGGCTTCACTGGGTCGTTTCCTCTAGGCACCCAGTGGAGCCTCCGGCGGCCAGTCTACGGTCTCCGCCAGGCGCCCCGTGAGTGGCACGACACACTGAGGACTACACTTGCGGCTCTTGGGTTTGCTCCTTCTACAGCCAACCCGTCGCTGTTTCTACGCACCGACACCTCTTTGCTGCCGTTCTACATCCTCGTGTACGTCGACGACCTGGTCTTTGCCACTGCTGACACTGCTGGACTCGCCCACGTGAAGTCCGAGCTGCAGAAGAGACACACGTGCACAGACCTGGGTGAACTGAGCAGCTACCTTGGCTTGCAGATCACCCGGGACAGAGCACAGCGCACCATTACCCTGACTTAGTCACACAGCGCACCATTACCGCCGAGCCGCCTGAGCCGCCCAAGCCGCCCGAGCCGCCCGAGCCGTCCGAGTCGCCTGAGCCGCCCGAGCCGCCCGAGCCGCCCTGTCCGGTAAGAGCAACGCCTCTGTCACTGCACTGCCCTTACCCCACTGTTCGTGCTACCAGTCTACTGCTGTCATGGCTACCCCTAGTGTCCTCGCTTTTGACGCTGAGGGTCGGGCCATTGACTTTGATATCTGAGTAGATGACCTGCAGCTTTTCCTACAGTGCGATAGGGCAGACGGTCTCTCCCTCTTTGACCTCACCTCTGGTGCCTCTCCTGCCCCTGCTGCTGATGCTGACGCCACTGTTCGCTCACAGTGGGCCACACGCGATGCTGCTGCACCTCTTGCTGTGCGTCGCCACCTACCTACCTCTGAGCGTGCACACTTTAGCCAGTACAAGAGTGCTCACACCTTGTACAACGCTGTAGTTGCACGCTACTCTTCCCCTGCCACTGCTGCACTGAGCCGCCTCATGCTACCGTACCTCTTCCCTGACCTTGCTGCCTATCCCACAGTCGCTGACCTCATTACGCACCTCCGCACTAGTGACACTCGCTACCGCGCTGCGCTTCCTGCTGAGTTCTGCGCCAAGAACCCCCCCCCCCCCCCCCCCGATATACATCACTCTCTACTACATAGTCACCCGCCTCTCTGAATCCCTTCGCGTAGTCAGGGACCACTTCCTCTCAGTTTGCCCCACCACCCTCACCGTTGACCTCGAGAAGGCCCTCCTAGCAGTGGAGAAGAGCATAGTCGCTGTAGGAGCCTCTCGTGGTGACCCTCACACCCCCATCTTTGAGGGGTGTTCCCCCTCCCCCCTTTTGCCCTCTGTTGCCTCTGCTGCTGCGGCCGACCTCGTTGGGCTTGAGTCGGTCGGTGCGGCGTCTACCTCTAGCGGGAGACGCCGCCCTGGCAAGGGCAAGGGGGGCAGGGGCGCTGGAGGAGCTAGCGGGGGCGGTGGAGGCGGCGGTGGAGGCGGGGAAGGGAGTGGGGGTGGCGGTGGGGGTGGTGGCGGGGGTGGAAGTGTCGGTGGCGGCAGTGGAGGCGGAGGTGGCGGCGGCGGTGGCGGTGGGAGCGGAGGTGGTGGCGGAGGTGGCAGCGGTGGGGGAGGCGGTGGCGGAGGAGGTGGAGCTGGTCGGGGTGGCGCTGCGCAGAGGGTCGGCTCCGGTGGAGGTCAGCGCCAGCAGCAGCAGCAGCAGCAACAGCGCACTCGTGACATCCCCTCCCCTCAGCAGCTCCGTGAGTGGTACACTGCATGCCAGCGGGGTGGGGGTACTGGTCCGTGCACCTACGTCCTACGCCTCGGCGACTGCGCGGGTGAGCAGTGAGGGGGTGCGCACTCCACCCAGCGCTGCTTTGGCCGCCTGACGGACGCTTGGCGTCACCAGTTCCCGGAGGCCACGGAGATCCCCCGCTGGGGTGAGCTGTCTAGGGCAGGAGTAGCTGTCTTTGAGCTTGACTTTGATGCTATTCTTGCTACCATGTATGCTGTGGCTATTAGTGATGAGGGTGACTGTTACCGGTGTTTTCCGCCCGACCCGGGCATTGAGACTGCCACTCTAGGTACTGGTGAGGCTGCTGCTCTAGGTGCTAGCGAGGCTGCTGCTCTAGGTGCTCGTGCGTCTGCTCCCTCAGGTGCTGGTGAGTCTACTCTCTCACGTACGGTGTCGGCTTTGGCCTCCCACACCTTCACCCTTGACTTGGGGGCTTCTCGCTCCTTCTTTCGAGAACGCACCACACTCACGCCGCTTGGCCGGCCAGTTGCAGTCTCTCTGGCAGACCCCTCTGGGGGTCCTGTCCTTGCTCACTACTCCACTGTCCTCCCGTGTCCGGCGGCCCCCTCTGGCACCCTGCCTCGTCTTTACCTCCCCTCGTTCTCTACGAACTTGGTGAGTGGTGCTGACCTGCAGGATGCGGGGGCTCACCAGTTCACTCCTGCGCGTCAGCGGGTGACCCACTGCACGGATGCTCGGACAGGCCGACACCTGGCCACGTTTACACGTCGGCCGGGGTCGAGCATGTACACACTGACCACTGCGTCTCCTCCAGTCACTACGTCTGGTCAGGTAGCTGCGTCGGGTCAGGTGTTTGCTGCAGCGTCCAGGTCTGGTCCTGAGTCTGCCCCCTGCTTGTGTCGCCTCCTGTCTCAAGAGACTCTCCTCTGGCCCCACCGCCTTGGTCACCCCTCCCTGCTTCGTCTCCGAGGCATGGCCTCCCATGTCCTTGTCTGTGGTCTTCCCCGGTCCCTCCCTCCCCTTCCTCCTGGGCCTGGCCCTACCTGCGTCCCCTGTGTCGAGGGGCGGCAGCGGGCTGCCCCTCACTCCTCCCAGTTTCCTCCGACAAAGGCCCCGCTGCAGATGCTTCACATGGACGTGTGGGGCCCGGCCCGCGACCGTCGACAGGGTCACGAGCGCTACTTCCTGCTGGTGGCTGACGACTACTCGCGTTACACCACAGTCTTTCCCTTGCGCAGCAAGGGTGATGTCACTGCGGTGTTGATCGACTGGATCCGCGCAGCTCGTCTCCAGCTCAGGCAGAGCTTCGGCTCGGACTTTCCTGATCTGCGTTTGCACTCGGACAGAGGCGGAGAGTTCTCCTCTGGCCTTCTGCGAGCCTACTTCGTGCACGAGGCATCCGCCAGACCTTCACGCTTCCGGACTCCCCACAGCAAAATGGGATTGCTGAGCGCCGCATTGGCATGGTCATGGATGTCGCTTGTACGTCCATGATGCATGCGGCTGCCCCCCATTTTCTGTGGCCGTTTGCGGTTCGGTACGCGGCGCATCAGATCAACCTTCACCCCAGGGTCTCCATGCCGGAGACCTCCCAAGCTTTGCTATGGACGGGGAAGGTTGGCGATGCGTCTGCGTTCCGTGTCTGGGGATCTCGGGCGTTTGTTCGCGACTTGTCTGCGGACAAGCTGTCCCCTCGTGCTGCTCCTTGCGTCTTCCTTGGCTTCCCCCCTGACGCGCCAGGGTGGCAATTCTACCACCCCACCTTTCGCCTTGTTCTGTCCTCCCAGGACGTCACGTTTGACGAGTCGCTCCCCTACTACCGCCTCTTCCCCTACCGCACTCCGTCCCTCCCCCCGCCACCGCTCTTCCTTGTACCAGGTCCCCCCCTGGTAGACCCCCTCCCCCCTCAGGGTCCTGCCCCTTCAGGTGTGTCCCAGGTAGACGCAGTCGAGCCTGTCGAGGTTACTGGTGAGTCTGGTGATGCTGCGGATGCTGAGCCTGGGGGTGCTGACTCTGGGGGTGCTGAGCATGTGGGTGCTGTGCCTGGGGGTGCTGAGCCTGCGGGTGCTCCTACTAGGGGTGCTGAGCCTGGGGGTGCTGCGACTGGGGGTGCTGAGCCCGGGGGTGCTGCGACTGGGGGTGCTGAGCCTTGGGGTGCTGAGCCTGGGAGTGCTACGCCTGGAGGTGCTGAGCCTGGAGGTGCGGAGCCTGAGGGAGTTGGGCCTACTCGTGTGGCGTCTAGCGGTGCTGGGCCTGGAGGTTCTCCGGTTGCTTCGTCTCGACGGGAGCCCCTCTCTCCACAGGAGCTGCGTTAGTGGTTTGCCCTGCGCTGGAGGCGTGCTGCTGGAGCTGGAGGTTCTCCAGCTGCTGAGGGTGCTGGTGCCGCGGGTCCCGGAGGTGCTCGTGCTGGGATAAGTGGAGCTGCTGGGCCTGCGGGTGCGACTGGAGCTGGTGCTGCTGAGGGTGTTGGCACGGAGGCTGCTGCTGTCGGTCCTGGAGGCGGACCTACAGGGGGTACTACTGGTGCTGCTGGAGGTACTGGAGCTGGAGGTGTTGCTGGCGCTGGTGCTGCCGCTGGGGGTACTGGTGCTGTCTCTACTGTGTCTCGAGTCGCCGCGCGGCCTCGGCCGTACTTCGTTCCGCTCCTTCAGCAGATTCTTGTTCTCCCGCATTCTATTGGTCCTTCTCCTCCCTTAGAGTGTCCACAGTTACAGCCGGCCTTCCCACTGCCTGCTCCTTCTCCCTACACTGGTCCTACTGAGGTCTTGCTGAGCGTCGTGAAAGTGCGTCTCGCCCTGCGTCGCCTGTCAGCCCTGCTCGCACTAGTGTTCGTGGTTTGCGTCAGCGTCCTTTTCCTGTCCCTGGCACGCACCGGATGTCTCTGCGTCCGTCCACTGCTCCTCTGCGTGCCCCTTTGCCTTCTCCTCCTGAGTCCTCTCTTCTTGCTCTTGCCGACCCGGAGTCGGACTCTCTTCGTGCTGCCAGTCCTACTGTCACGCGTCTCCTTGCTACTGCCGTCACTGACCCTTCCTTTGAGTCCACTGCTGCGTCTGCCTTAGTTATTGAGCTTGTCGACTTTGCTGCTCGCTGTCGTCTAGACTACGCTGCTAGTCTTGTCGCTGAGTCTGAGTCTGTCTGTCCTCCGTCCGTCGGGGGTGAGTGTGCCCTTGGCACGGACATCGTTGAGGACAGGCAGGAGGAGTTCCAGTGCCTGGCTGCTACTTCACCTCATCTCGTGTCCGTACTGCTTACCCCAGAGGGAGACCCGGATGCACTTGACATCCCGACTCCGCGCTCTTAAGCGGAGGCGATAGAGGGTCCCTACTCCTCTCAGTGGCAGGCAGCTATGGACACAGAGATGGCTTCCTGGAAGTCCACAGGCACCTACGTTGACGAGGTTCCCCCGCCTGGGGCGAACATCGTCAGTGGCATGTGGATTTTCAGGGTGAAGCGGCCGCCGGGTTCTCCGCCTGTCTTCAAGGCACGCTACGTGGCTCGTGGCTTCAGTCAGCGGCAGGGAGTTGACTACTTTCAGACCTTCTCTCCCACCCTGAAGATGACCACTCTTCGGGTACTGCTGCACATAGCTGCTCACCGCGACTACGAGCTGCACTCTCTTGACTTCAGCACTGCTTTCTTGCAGGGCAGCCTGCACGAGGAGATCTGGCTGCGTCGCCCACCTGGCTTCACTGGGTCTTTTCCTCCTGGCACCCAGTGGAG